TTAGAATGAATGAATAAACTGTCCCACTTAGTATACTAGGCAATTTGGTACCAGAGATCTTTCAAGTGTAGAAATGTTCTTTGCTAAAATGTACAGGTAAAGATGTCTCTAAGTGTCCTACAACTATAGCAACTATGATTCACAGTGATATCAGGGCAGGGGAGAGGGGGAGGTGCTGTGTTGCTTTGCAGATCTTTATATGACCCGACCTAATTAATTTCAAAATGAAAGGAAACACAATACATTATAGGACCTGCACCAATTAAGTAACTGAATAACTGAACAGTATGATCCTCATGGAGGTTCAAACATAAAAGCATTATATTTCTCTCAATTTCCTAACCTCAGCAGCACTATGCCAAATCTCTCTTCCCAGTTGGAATAGATTCCTAAAAAACACCTGGAACAGATCCCAGAATTTTCAGGTCACTTTCAGCTATTAACAGTTCACCCAGTTTAAAATGCCAATCAAATGCTCAAAGAAGGGCCTTCCCCAGCGTATCTTTTGGTCCAGGGTCCGGGGAAATAGACAGGGGTGCTTACAATGCCAACAGTAAGAGTGTAGGCCGATCCAAGTCTCTTTGTGTCTGCTGTCAATCTTTTCAATTTTCTTTCTGCCTGCTTGAGGGCCTATAGGGCCCAGCAATAAATATATGCCTATAATATTTCTTGCTTCTCACCAAAGAGAAGACATTTCTTGTAAGCATTTCTCCCTATTTTAGGGAGTTCTCCTCATTCACTCCTCCTCCCATGACAGCCCACAGGAATGGAATTGGGGAAGGGTGAGTGGTTAGTTCTTGGGCTGGCTGGTTGCTAGACCTTCCTTCATAAGGCCTAAACATTCTGGTTTAGTGGACAGAAAAAATGGTGGAAGTAAAACTAACTAACTGCCCATGGGTATGTCTCTCTTAATTGTCTGTTCCTGCTAACTCTACATAAGACTGAATGACCTTGTCAGGGGATGCCAAGCACAGGGATGATATGCAAAATATTTAATAGGTGGGGTGCTGACTGGTCAGAAGGGATGTGGTCTCAGGGCTGGGACAGAGTCCTGCAGGCCCGTGTTCCCTCTAGTTGCTGGATCAGGGATGCTGGCAGCATTGCTGCAATGTACTCAGGGGACGTAGGTCACAGTCTTTGCACTAACAATAGCAAGTATTTTAGTACCAGGACAGCGGTACTGATAGAAACTGCTGAAGATCACTCCTGCTTATGGGAGCTCATCAGAGTGTCCTGAGCAAAGCCGTCTCTGCTGAGTATTTCCTGGTGCAGGAGCCTGCCCCACTGTGCCAGGTTGGCTCTCTGCCAAGCCCTCCCCATGACTGTCCCATGGCCACTTGTCTGATCAAGCTGGACTACCTCCTACGTGTCCACTAGACCCCAGGGAACTCACACATCTCTACAATGCCAAAATGGAGTGCAGCAGGCATTCCAAGTCTCTCCCTGCTGCCAACTTCCTCCAGTTCTTTTTTGCCTGCTCAGATGGGTGAAGGATACAGCAGTAAATCTGTGTCTAAAACATTTCTTGCTTCTTGACACTTCTTGTAGGTGCCACCCCCAACCTTTAACAGGGGCACTCTTAGAGCTGCCTTCAGTTTGATGGTCAGGGAGGAAAGCCAAAGTATTCTAGATGATTAGATAGCCAATGATATCTCCCCACCCACTGAGGACTTGGGTTAAGGGAGGGGACGAGAGGAAAAACCTCTGCACAGTTAGTATATGAGACAGAATTAGTATCTCCTTATAAATCCCAAGAGAAGGGTCTGGCCTATATTGGAGGTGGCCTCTTGTGGGCTTTCGCTGTGGGATGGGGTAACTGAAAGCTGTTCCTTCAGATTTCAGACAATACCACTAATTCTGGCCAAAAGAAAAAATCCTCCTCAATATCCTGTTATGCTTATTTAAAGAGGCACCCAACATAATGAAATATTACGTTTTGTTCAAGAAAAATGAGCACCCAGTACACATGGAATAAAATAAATTGAGGAAGCCTATTTCTATTGGTGATTATTTGGAGATGCTGATTAATCCATTGTGCACATATTTATGTTTAATTAGAAACTGGGAAGCTTCAGGATGTTATTCTAAAACACAGTCTATTGGCATTATGGCATCACATTCATGTGGGAGAAATAATGTTAGAAGATTTTCTTGGTAAATTATTTTTTAGCGACCCTGTTTCATAAAAAGCATGTAGTTTTGCTCAGATGTTATAAGAAACTAAGTCTGAGTATAAGTTGATTTGCTATAATTGGAATAGGCTTATTGCAGTCATTTTACCCCTTTAAATTATGATCCCAGCATTCAAACATCTGTTAGACCATAGCATCTGTTTCATATTTGGGATGCATCCCTACAAATTAGGAGAGTGTTCTTTTTTAATGAGCTCTGATTTAATAGGGAATCCTTTTTTTAAATGACTTATGCCAAAGAAAGAAAATTCATCTCTGTAGCACGCCCAGCTCCACAGCAAAGGTCCTCAAAGGTCCACACTTTTCTAACACAAAACTGTTTAATAAAGACATATTAATATAAAAGTTAGGTGTTTTACAATTTAGTGTTTAATATTTTAAAAACCATATAGATCCATTCATCTATGGATAGACACTGAGGCTGCCTCCAATTCTATTGTAAATAGTTCTGCAATGAACTTAAGGTTGCATATGTCTTTTCAAATTAATATTTTTGCTTTTTTCTATACTTAAATTTAAAAAACAGAAATAAAAACCATGTGTATGTGTTTGTATATATGTGTAACACACACAACTAGGAACTGAAGAGAGGGCAACACATTCCTAATATTCAAGCAAGATAATCGCTTCTTTTAGCAGGTTTTGTTATTTATTTATTTGTTTGTTTGTTTTTATTTCAGAGATAGGAAGAAAGAGAGATAGAAACATTAATGAGAGAGAATCATTGATTAGCTGCCTCCTGCAAGCCCTCTACTCGGGATGGAGTCCACAACCTGGCATGTGCCCTGACTGGGAAATGAACTGTGACCTCCTGGTTCAAGGATCGAAGCTCAACACTGAGCAACACCAGCCAGGTGATAATCACTTCTTTCAAATAAACTGTCTTAACAATCTATAGAGTCTGAAAGACACTAGAAAAATTCATGGCCTCATAGTCTCTCTGTTTACAAAGTCCTGTTTACAACTCTAACTCAAAAGGCACACTATACGCAAGATCCTTACTATTGAAGTTGTACCTGCAGTAGTACTTTGCTACTGACTCACACACTTCTTTTGCTTTCTTTTTTTTTAATCTTTATTGTTGAAAGTATTAAATATGTCCCCTCTCTCCCCCACTGACCTCTTCTAATCCATCTCCACCCCCGACCCCAGGCCTACACCATCCTATTGTCTGTGTCCATGGGTTATACATATTTGCTTACAAGTTCTTTGGTTGATCTATTCCCACCCACCCATCCTCCTCCGCCTTCCCTCTGAGATTCCGCACTCTGTTCCATGCTTCCATGTCTCTGGATCCACTCTGTTCATCAGTTTATTTTGTTCATTAGATTCCACATATGAGTGAGATCATGTGATACTTGTCTTTCTTTAACTGGCTTATTTCGCTTAGCATAACACTCTCCAGGTCTCTCCATGCTGTCTCAAGGGGTAAGAGATTCTTCTATTTTATTAAAACTACTAGAGGCCTGATGTACAACATTCGTGCACTCAGGAGGGGTGTCCCTCAGTCTGGCCTGTGCCCTTTCACAGTCCAGGAGCCCTCAGGGGATGTCTGACTACCTGCTTAGGACCAAGGGGAGCAGTCGGACATCCTTAGCACTACTGTGGAGGCAGAAGAGGCTCTCACCGCACTCCGCCATTAGGTCGATTTGCACATTACCCTTTTATTATATAGTATTCCCTGTGGTCTTCGTTAAGTTTTCTAGTCATTTGCAGATCTCTATTTGGGTCTGAGTTTATCTCACACAGAAGCTGGTCAGCTTAATGTCAAACAATAGATTAGTTTATTCAGCTGTTTATATACTTCTTTATTGTTTCAGACCTTTATATTTTTATATTTCTAATTTGGATCTGGCTAAACTTTAAAAGCTTAATGTTAAGACATTTAAAACTCCTAAATTTTTATGATATAAGCTGCCATAAAATTTGAAAAATGACAGGCCATCCCATTAAATTAACAAACTACTTAAGATTTGTAAAAGAACTATATCACTAAAAACAACAACAACAAAACACCTCAGAAGAAACTCATGGGAAGGAAGTCAGAAACATGAGAGGAAAAAAAAGTTTATAAGAGATTTTGGTTACCCATTTTTTTTTTTACCTCCTAATTTGTCTCACGAGAAGAAAGAACTGTTACTATAGTGTCCTAAAAACATTTTTTCCACGAGTTCCCTTAAGGCAGAGCAGTCACAGCTTGGCAAAGTCACCTCTCCTGCCCACTCTAAAAACTCCTGGCATCGTTCTCCCCAACCCATCACCCACCTCATAGGGTTTATAAAAACACATTTTTACTTTGCCAAAGGAATTTTAAATTCACGTCAGATCAGATGTACAACTGACAGATGTTATAAAACCTACATGTCATTTGAGTTCTTCTCTAAAAACAACAAAAATTAAAACATCAACCACCTGGTTTAAAAGTAGTGCATTCTATTCTAGGGATTTACAGATGTTACAAGAGAATCCGCAAAGAGGAAAAGGGCCTTGACCATTCTTCTGGGTTCAAGCTGGATTTATTTAACTGATGAGAGAGACAAAACTGACCTTACTTTAAAATATTACTACCTGTGAAAAGGATTTTGCAATTTTCCTGGGTAACCATTTTCAATGCTTAATGACTTTTATCAACAAGACACCTTTTCTTTTCTTTTTTCCCCTAAATTTAAGGTTAACCCTCTCATTGTTGAAAATTAGATACAATACACTTTACGGGCAAAGGTGAAATGGTACAGTTAAAGGAATATGATTAATTTCTGTAATTTCTGCCTCTGCATAGCTCATCTCGGTATATTCTTAGAAACTTGCCTCTGCTAGTTGAAAGAGTGCAGACTTTCCACAGCGTCTTACAGGTTCGGCACCACCCAACTGCGAAGTGTTTGAAGAAATCTATATTGAAAACAATTCATATAAAGAATATTAATTGTGATATCAGAATTCTTGCTTCCCATTCATACATTCAGGAACTTTCCTTAGTTTATGAGAACATCATTGCTCCCAAGTACCAAATAACTTTAAATGTGGCATGCTTGGGATTATAATTTTCAAACCAATTTTAGTAAATAATCTCCAAAACAGCAACAAAAAAACAGGCATGAACACTATGGTGGCTATTTAATGACAAGAGTATTATCTTTTATATTCCAGGCTTTAGATTTAATTCTAACCTTACAAGAAGAACACATTTCCATTTCTAGGTAAGTATCAACTCATCAACTGGTCATATATAAAGGAGCTATTTAGAGCCAATTTGTAATTACCAAAGTGACTAGTTAATTGTGCAAAGGAATATGTTTGGGAGCTCTGAGGAAAGAATACCAAGTCAAATATTTTTTTGAGAGTCCAATATAAATGTCCTAAGCAGTATGGTAGGAGCTGGGGAGCTAAGAATTTTATATAAAACATTGGCTCTGCCTTTGAGACTATGTTCTAAGTACACACAAACCTGCAATTAAGACCACAAGTCTAAGTAAGTTGTACAATTAAGGACCTATGTTGTAGCACACACATATACATACAATATTACACTGACTGCATACTCTCCTTCCAGTTTGGCTAAACAGTAGCCAGGCATTGATAACGATGAACAGCACTGTCCTTTGTCACTTTTCTATGAAAATTTCATTTTCCATTTCTACCCTAACTCAGTAGAGAACTCAGAAGGACACATGGTAAGCATCTTCACAAAGTGTGCTTTCCCTGAAGAAGTTCTGTCATCATGAGAGCAGCTAGCTGGCTTTTTGTATTCTTTGTGATTCCGAATTCTTTCTCCGTTTAAGACAGCGATATTGCTCAGTTCTCTTTAGGAGGCAATCCTGCCATAGGTGACCTAGCCCCGCCCTCAGGGGAGTCTATGGAGCTGTCAGCTGCAGGAGAGTCTAGGTCAGTGGTTCTCAACCTTCCTAATGCCGCGACCCTTAAATACAGTTCCTCATGTTGTGGTGACCCCCAACCATAAAATTATTTTCATTGATACTTCATAACTGTAATTTTGCTACTGTTATGAATCATAATGTAAATATCTGATATGCAAGATGTATTTTCATTGTTACAAATTGAACATAATAAAGCATAGTGATTAATCACAAAAACAATATGTAATTATATATGTGTTTTCCGATGGTCTTAGGCGACCCCTGTGAAAGGGTTGTTCGACTCCCAAAGGGGTCGCGACTCACAGGTTGAGAACTGCTGGTCTGGGTGCTTTGCTGCTGGCGGGAATTCTCCCTAAAAGACCTGCAGCATAAGAGGCCTTTGTAGAGGCAAATATTTAATAAGCTACCTGGGCTATTTACAAGGGCCTACTTTGAGAAGTTTTAAGGACTTTTTCTTCCTAGGTACTATCATTTTTCACAGAGTCCTTTCCTATTCATCATAATCACTTACTTTTTCTTTAGAAGATCAATTTATGAGGCTCAATCTTTCTGAAGTTTGGAAAAATTTCCTTTAGCTGGACTTTCTGATATATGCCACTTCTACTTTTTCTAGACAAGTTGAATTTAATTACTCGCCTTATCACCAGACTAATAGAAACAAACACATTAATATAATCACCGATTTGCACTAACTTGAAGGAAGAACTGAACATGAATGCATCCCTTAAACCAAGGTTGTATAATAGAAAGAACATGGCTTTTTTGTCAGACAGATGTGCCTTCATTAACTTTTTGCTGTGTGGAGTTAAGCAAATAATTAAGACTTTGAGCCTCATTTACCTCATCTTCAAAATAGAAAAAATAATACCTGCCTGATATTACTGTTGTGAAGATTACATTTTATATTGGTGAAGGGTTTGGCACAGTGCTGAGCCCATATTGTTTTTAATAAGTAGTGCATATATTAGTAATAAGGATCTATCATTAACACTAATAAACATAAACTCTTTTAGTACAATTGCAAAAATTAGTTATACACTGAAATTGGAAAAGAATTAAAAACTGCAATGTCAGAGTATTATTGTTAAATTTAATAAAGTGCAGAATATTACATCTGTCACATAACCATATGACAACCTCGAGAACTGCTGAAGGATAACAAGCTGGGTAGAGCAGCAGGGATAGCCCATGACACAGTTTCTAGTTCTTCCACTGGCTCCCTCTGCTGTCGCTTTTGTAGATTTATGCTCCCTGATTCTATAGGTGTTTGTTCACTACCATATATCTTGTGCCTAAAGCAGTGCATGGCACAACCAAGGCTCAATGAAGAACTAGTGAGGGCATGGATGTATTATCTACCATCTGAGTTTATGCTCAGCTGTCTGAGTCAGGGCTTGAGAACGGTTCCTTGCCTTTCAAAAGGAATCACCTGGGTTTAGCAAGAACAATTTTCCTCATTGCCCCTGAGAGGAAAATTGTGTAGGTATAGGGAAGTATTTTAAATGCTTCAAGTTGCTGGAAAGCTGATTTCCAAAGGGGCATGTGTGGAAAGGATCAATGTATTTTAGTCCAACATTTATGTAACAGTAAATTTTTAGCCCGGCTGGCGTGGCTTAGTGGTTGAGCATTGAACTATGAACCAGGAGGTTGCGGTTTGATTCCTAGTCAGGGCACACGTCTAGGTTGCGGGCTCAATCCTCAGTATGGGGCATGCAGGAGACAGCTGATCAATGATTCTCTCTCATCACTGATGCTTCTATCTCTCTCTCCCTCTCCCTTCCTCTCTGAAATCAATAAAAATATATTTTTAAAGAAATTTTTCATGGAATGTCTTAGTGACAAGGTGTGCTTTCTAAAAATATCTTTGGCTTATTAATTGGAGTGGGGACTGAAAAAGCAAATATATGTTAATGTCCATGGCTGGAGCCTTCTCTCTATTTCTCTGCAGCATTCACATGGCTGGTCCTTCTCTGGAGAACTCCTCCCTGGGCTTCTATCAGTGCAGGGTGCTTGTTCTCCTCCTACTCTCAGGCCACCAGTTGTTGTTCTCCTTTGCTGGCTCTCCCCGCTATAGTGATCCCTCAGGGTTTTGTCTTAAGATCCCCTCTCTTTTTACTTACACATGATTCTCTTCGTAATCTCATCTACTCTGAGGGTTTCAATTATAGGCACAGCTTGTACAATGACCATTTGTTACATGTTATACCACTTCCTTCCCCATCGCCCCCCCATTTTTTATTTGTGTTTTTTTTTTTCCTATTTCAGACACACATATCCTTTCAAGTAAGAACAATATAGTTAATGTATGTTTTTCATGTTGGTCAGCTAGTGGTAGAAGTGCATGTTGCTACACTCCTGGGTAGAGGGCACTAGGGGGCCATACTGCATAGTATGTTCCTGGCTTTGCTTTTCATTTTCCTTGAATTAATGGTGCTTGACAATCTGTTAACTCCACTGTAGTCTCTCCTCCAGTTATTATGTAATGTTTTGATTTTTTTTTTAATAAAAAGGTTAGGTGTAATAGTACATGAGGCACAGCAAAAGTGCTAGGAAAAATTCTCACCCTGGATGTTAATCTACTAATTTTTTAGCTGGCCTGAGGTATAGGAGTACAGGTGGTAAAGATAAAAATTGCCAATTAGGTAAAGGTGGAAAGTCTTCTGCAATTACAAGGTGTACCATAAACATTGTATCCTGTGAGAAAATAACCAATAACTGAATAAATAACCGAATCAAAGAAAAAATGAACAAAGTGAGATGACTGGTCTACCATACCCTAAAGAAATATTAATGCTTCCAATAAAACATGTAATATTCTCACACTGAATAGCTGCAGTGTGAGTATATGGAGTTTTTTTCAAATGCAATATTCTGTAACACACTGGGCATTTCATCATGAAAACAAATGCCTGAAATTTGCACCTATTGCATATATTCACTTCTGATAATGACTTAAACTTGGTGTATTTATATTGGCAAAGAAAATACCTTTTAAGTTTAATATTCAAATCTATTTGTCTAAATCATCCAGGTTAGCTCTTTGTCTTCCAAATAAATATGTAATTTTTCAATGCAAAGATATGCTCTAGGTGTAAGAGTCAGCCACAGAGCAGAGAATATGGTCATGGCTTTCAGATTTGTTAAATAATGGAAGACAAGAGCTCCCTTCAGGCTTTACATTTGCTCATTAGTCTTCAGTAAATGAGATCTAAAAAGTGACAGATGTGTTACTTTACCTGTAAACAATGAAAGATGCAGCTAGTAAACTCATTCTAACCAACTTAATGATAGGGGCCTGGAAACAGTGATGGCTCTTCCCATGGGCTGGGTTAAATCTAGGCGAATTTGAGTGTCAATAAGGAATGGGAGACAGGCTGACATGGGGGAAAGCAGGTTCTGTACTCTATTATTTCTTTCTAGATCTTACAGAGCAGACATATTTTCTCCTTTTAAATGTGAGCATTCATTTAAACCTACAAGAAAAATGTTCTTCACTCAGTTTCATGGCTCCGTATAGGTCAGTGATGGCGAACCTTTTGAGCTCGGCGTGTCAGCATTTTGAAAAACCCTAACTTAACTCTGGTGCCGTGTCACATATAGAAATTTTTTGATATTTGCAACCATAGTAAAACAAAGATTTATATTTTTGATATTTATTTTATATATTTAAATGCCATTTAACAAAGAAAAATCAACCAAAAAAATGAGTTCGCGTGTCACCTCTGACACGCGTGTCATACGTTCGCCATCACTGGTATAGGTTAACCTCAGTATTAAAACTTATCAGGTTTGGTTAATAAGAAAAAATGTCCTTCTCAGCTTGCAAGGCAGAGACTTAGGATTCATTATGAAAGAAAAACATTTTCAATTTAAAGAAATGCCCAAGGCTTATAGTTTTTTTAAAGGGTGTGTTTCTAGGATAATGATGTTGCACAATAAATGACTCATTGCCAAGAGTAGATCTAGCTAATCTCTTCCTGGAGTTACCGACAACTGCAAATTAAATTAACAGGAATGGTCTCTAAGAATTTTATAAGCCTGATCTTAAAATGAAATTATAGCTAAACACTTTAAAACAGTAAATTGATTTCTAAATTATATATATAAAAAAAAGTATACATAATAGGAGTGAGAATCCCTATAAAAAGGGATGGGGGTATAAAATGGCCCACTGGGAAATTTTCTATTACACATCCATCCCTTCCTCACTTCATCCTTTCCCTAAGAGGTCCCAGAAATACTAGGAAGTACCTTAATAATGACGAATAGACAGCTTTTAGTAAAATTTTTAAATTACAGAGCAATGGTCTCAAACTCTTATTTCCTGATAGTAAACTTTTTGGAAATGCAAATTCTCAGGCCTTACTCCAGACTCAGTAAGTCAGAAACTTTGGGGGTGGGGCTCAGCAATCTGTGATGAAAATGACTTGAGGGTGACTCTGGTGTTATTTAAAGATTTAGAACCTCTACTAAGACTAATTAAAACAAGAATTACTAGAGTCTCTGTGTTTTCTCAAAGGTGATGGGTGTTTTATGAAGTAATTATAAGAGCTTTAGGGATATGATCACAGTAATTACAGCCTATTCTATTTCTGCAATATACATGCTCATAGTTCACCTAGTTAAGTCTTGTTTAGTTTTAAATAAACCAGCACAGTATTAGGCTGACAAAAAGGTCAACTCATAAGGTGCTAAGAGATTGAACCTTACTTAGGGTTTTCTTGGGTCAGTGGAGGAAAAATATAGAGAAGTTACATATTGGAGAGAATCAAGTACTTCTCTCACATAATCACATATAATGTTTACTCAATAACGAGGTATGTTATAACTTGTTTAATTTGCTTAGGAATTAAAAGGCTCACATTATCAAACTAGGCAAAATATAACTAGGAAAAATAATATACTGAGTTGGGAGGGGATATTGCTTTTGATCTTAGGGGAAACATTTTGTTTTCCCATCATGCATGCCTTCCTCCATTATGATGTCTTGAAACTACAACTAATAAGTTTCCAAAACGATTTTGTTAAGCTTCCTCAAATCTTCTATATATCCCATGGCCAAAATAATGAAGACCTCAGGAGACAAGTGCTACTCAGAAGACATCTGTGTAAGGAAACGTCTCCTTGCACAACGTCCAAGTCAGAAGAGGTTCTTTTCTCCCCTGGGTGGGGAGGACCTCCTCCTGCTTGGAGGAACGCATACACTGAGCAGTAAGGACAAACTGACTTGCTACAGAGAGGCACAAAATCTGGTCCTCCAGAGTCACAGGACACAGGCTGTTACAGCATCAAACTGCTCCTTCAGAGCTGCCCAGGGCTCCAGGAGCTCTTAATAAATCTAATGATGGTATCGCTCAAATAACGATCACCTTCTCTGTGGTGATGACTGTTAGAAATGCACCAGCACCTGCTGACGTATCCTGTACTTACATGTTAAGTTGAATACTCTTGGTAGGTAAGGTGTAAATATCAAGTGTGTCAAAGATGAGCTACTGCCTTTCTAATTTTCATGCTGGAGTGCAGAATTTAATCAAACACAATATGTGGCAAATACATTCTGTTTTGGAGGAAGTGTTTCTAAAAAGTTGGATGGGATTCACTCAGGTGTTAAGATTAAAGATAAATTTAGAAAACAGACTATCCTAATGAAAAATTATAATAATATCTTAATTTATTCAAATTCATCAAGCAAATTGTTCTTAATGAAATGATAGCATTTGATACTGTTTTTGCCATTTTCATTGCATCACCCTCAACAGCTAAAGTGAGACCGAAAAGATGAGCAGGCCACTGTGCTATAAAGTCACAGGGGTTGACACAACTGTCCCAAGAGGAAGCAGCTTTTGACTTAAGGGCTGAAAGTAATTTTTATCATTTTCAAAGTAAGATGCCAGGTTTTCTTCTGCCAAAAGGATATCATTTTATATTTCACTTATGCAGCATTCTATTCAACGAATCAAAGTGATTCAAAACACCAATACTACACAGAAAAGTCCTGCTTGTCATTTTCTCTCAACCCCATATGGGACTGATCAGTTTATGATATGCTTTTTACTGGAATTAATATAAAGGAAAAGGGGGAAAGACCTAAAGCAGACAGCATCTTATTTTCAAGAACTATATATACATTTTATGATTTGTTATATAGTGCTCATTGGAAACGAGCCTATGGAGGAAGCCAGTGCCTTGTGGCCATATCAAGCCTATCATATTTGCCTCCTAATCATATCTACCCAAGAAAATGCTCTCTAGTGTGTGCTCTGTCTCTGGCTGACAAAAAAAAGAAATCCGAGATCCTGCAAGAGCTGACTGGCTCCAAGCCTGGGATTAATGAAAACACTGGCTGAAGCTATGCCACAGTGAAAGCTAATCACGGATGATTTCACAGGTCAGATTCACTACTGCATTGCTGTGAGAATTATTCATGAATTACAGCATATAATTTCACAATTAGGAAAATTTAATAAATTGGAATTCTATGGCATTCATATTGACAGCAGTTTTTCCAAGCTTTAAAAATAATTTAAAAACAAGGCAAAAATGAAATAAAGAATTACTAGAAAGTGCTTATTCTGAATGAACTCTTTAATGAATGGTTACAAAATGGGTATACTATATGGAGCTGATCTGACTACGATTACAGCAAAGACAGCAAAAAAACAGTAAGTATTCAGTTATGTGTATTATGTCAGGAAGGGAAGAGGCACACCTAAAGTTCGCTATACATTATTAAAACTTCACTCCAGTATTTCCTGGAGTTCAGTAAGTTTTCTGAGCCCTATAAGTATTTTAAAAGAAGAAGAAGAAGAAGGCCATACCTCTGCAAACTGAAACAAGGCTGATGCTTGACACTGTTTTGAAGGAGCGTCGGGGTGGGATGTACTTGAAGATATCTGAAAGGAAACAAGTAGTTTTTAATGCACAAAAACATTTTCCCATATCAGAGTAATAGATTTTGCCATATATTCCCACTGCAGACACTGATGAAGATTAAGACATGAGTCATCACACTCAATCCCTTTTAGAAGAACAGTGCAAATTATAAAGGAAGACAAAGGCCATGTTTCTAAAAACAGGTGATTTAAGGAACAAAGACGGAGTTTGGCTCATTTGCCATGTCTCTTGTAAGGGTATTAGCTACATGTCAAATAGCAGTTGATACCTGTTGAGATGAATTTCCTTATTTCAATGGATTTCTTAAAATATTATTAAAAGTTGGACGCTGCAAGTAAAGACAGTCACTTTCTCTCTTCCCTACACCACTACCCCCCAAGCTGTTTTCTGCTTAGGCGCAGTTGTAAAACAATATTGGAAAAGCATATGGATGTGGGACAGGGTATCTGGTATCTTAGATCTGTTCCTCACTAGCTACATGACCTTGCACTGCTCAGCTAATCTTTCTGTGATTTTTCCCAACTGTAAATCGATAATGTCAGTCTCCATTTTATAGGATATGGCAAGAAAATAAGCCATGATAATAGAGCAATAGAACTCAACAAATTGTTCATAATACCACTAGTGGCCCGGTGCACGAAATTCGTGCAGGGGGCCAGGGGGGTTGGCCTTCAGCCTGGCCTACACCTTCTCCAATCTGGGACCCCTTGGGGGATGTCTGACTGCCGGTTTAGGCCCCACCCCCATCTCGACTACCAGTTTAGGCCTGATCCACAGGGACCGGGCCTAAACCGGCCGTTGGACATCCCTCTTGCAATCCGAGACTGCTGGCTCCTAACTGCTCACCTGCCTGCCTGCCTGATTGCCCCTAACTACTCTGCCTGCTGGCCTGCTAGACCCCAACTGCCCCCCCCCCGCCAGCCTTCTCACCCCCAACTGCCCCCCTGCCAGCCTGCTCGCCCCCAACTGCCTTCCCCTCCTGACTTGATCGCCCATAACCGCCTCTGCCTTGGCCCTGCCACCATGGCTTTGTCCGGAAGGATGTCTGGATGGTCTCCTGGTCTAATTAACATATTACCCTTTGAATAGTATAGATAGAGGCCTGGTGCATGGGTGGGGGCCAGCTGGTCTATCCTGAAGGGGATCCTGGATCAGGGTGGGGGTTACCTTGGGGGGTGGGGCCAGCTTGGGCAAGGTGCTGATGGCCATTTTCAGGCTGGCCATGCCCCCAACGGGGTGAGGGTCCCCCCCGCTGGGGGGCGTGGTGGCCTGGGCAAGGGGCTGATGGCTGTTTGCAGGCTGGCCACACCCCCATCGGGTAAGGGTCCCTGCTGGGGGGCGTGGCCAGCCTGGGCGAGGGGCTGAGGACCCTTTGAGGGCAGTTTGCAGGCCGGCCAAGCCCCTGGCTTTGTCTGGAAGTCTTCTGGTCTAATTAACATATTACTCTTTTATTAGTATAGATGAGCTCCCTCTCTCCCTCCCCCCCCCACACACACACACACACTGCAGCTGCCTGACAGTGGACAGAGGGTTCTGCCATACCACATTTAGTTTAACTCAGAGACCTTTTGTTTCTACTTGGCCCTAATTATGGTAGCCTCATTAGTTTGCACTGAGGGCCATGCGGAAAACTTTCCGAGGATTTTTTGAGAGCAAGGTCAATTATTAATTTTGGTTCCAAAGTGAACAAACTCTGTCCAGCTACAATATAGGGTGAAAGTGAGTCACAAAAGCAGAAAGCCTGGATAATATAAGGTCAGCCCATTCCCAGGCCAATAAAAATATTTTTCATCAATTAATTGTGCTCATCAACTCCATCAAAGAGTACTTACAAAGCAAAAAATGTACCTTAATCATAACTCTTCAACCACAAAAATCAATTTTAATCTCAATTAAATTATGTTGGCTAGAAAAATAATGAAACCAGTTTTGGGGACACAGTATCAAAACTCTATTTAAGGATAAGAAAGAATACAGAAAGTAATGGAATCATTGACTTTATTCATTGCTGAAGCCATTAGGAAAATTTTAATTTTACTCTAAGTCCTAAATCAGACATTTAAACATTTTTAGAATAAATACAAGTAAAAACAAGTCCTATTTAACAAACTAGATATAAACAAACTATCATAAATGGGTAGTTTTAACCAAGTGCTCTGACGACACTGAACACACTGAGGATAAAATCGTAGGCCTCCTCTTGGTCTAACCATGAAACCTGTCAGTGCAAGTCGTGACAGACTGCAAATAGGAATCCACAAGGATTTTCCTGAAGTCCTGGGAATTATACACCAGGTAGGTCTTACTTCAGACATCATTTTTCATTCCTACCAACCCTCTATAAAAGTTTGAGAAGACAAATAGTTTATGTAAAGACAAATGTCTTTCTTCAAGGCTTAAATCAGACAGTGGACAAAATAGAACCAGTATAAACCATCTAGATTTTTGAAAAGCATTTCACAGGTTTCTCTCTCAACAAAAGGTCATTTTGCACATTAATATTGGGATAAAGCAGATATTCCGTTAATGACATGAGTAGGGGGCTCCTGAAGAAATATTACATCAGGGACTCTTTATATCAAAAAGATCAGGAAATCTCTTTGGAATCTTCCATGTGCTGTAGAACCCACAAACATGTACATATGTCCACAAAACCAAATTTCATATAACATCTTAGAGATTTCATTAGATCCCTAGGGGTTTAGAGATCAATGGTTAAGCATCTCTGCTTTCAAAGTTGGGGCCAACACTATTTCACATGAATATAACTACTGGAGAACAAGGTAAATCCCCTGTTACATTAATACATTAGGAAACAATGTACAAAACAACTGGAATTCATGGTGCATCCACAAAGAGGCAGAAAGGAAAGTGATAGATGAGTATCATGTCAGCAAATTTATAATATTCCTGTGCTATCTACAGGGCATTTAGTCATATTATAAACAACGTCTTAAAAGGAATAGCCTAATATACCACTGTAAAAAGCAGTTTGCCAATGAAAATGTTGAGAACCACCAGGAAAGGACATTAGAGAGGGGAAAAAAATCTGAAACTTAAATATGCTCTCCTTGCATAAAACGGTTATGTAACAGGCAAATGTTAGAAAGGTTGAGTGAAAGACAATTCCAGTGATCAAAGGGAGATGACATGCTTTAAAGTTCAGGAAAAAACTAATTAATCAAAGCTCCATATTGAGTTCTGGGGTAAATGAAGATATTTTGGGAAGCAGTCTTGACCTTTAAACTTGATATCAAGGATAATGTGCTTTTGTACTTCATCTCTTTCAACCAATGTTAAAGATGTATTGAGCCTAACAGGTTTGACAAAACACAGTAAGACTTCAGAAATTTCAATTAAAAGAAAATAGAACTTAAAAAAAGAAATGCATAGTCAATGAACAACCAGGAGTTGTTTCTGTCTTCACATTTAATACCTGATAAGTGACTAATAATAATTCAATTATGCTATTTTTAAAAATTGATTTTAGAGAGAGAGGGAAAGGGAGCAGAAGAGAGCTAGAAATAGAGAGAAACACCAACTGGCTGCCTTCTGCACGCATCCCAACCAGGAATCAAACTCACAACCTGGGAATGTGCTGGGATTGGGAATTGAACCCGAGACCGTTCAGAACAGGGGATGATGCTCCAACCAATTGACCCACACTGGCCAGAGCTCAATTATATTCTTAATTTTACTATCCATGAATAAAAATTATTGATAAGGCTTACGTGTAATAATAATCAGGACTTAATAATAATTTTTATACACATATAGTTATTCTTTAATTGAGAGATTCTGGAGTTTCAACTATCTTCCAAAAATTAAAATTTTCCATTTATAGTCAACTGAGCTAAGCAGAGTTCATCATTGCTTTAAGTTATTGTCATCAGCTCAGATTTAAGCTCATTTTACAATTTCCTTATTAAGTATAAATTTCAATGTATTACCTCAGCAAACTGAAATAATGGTGACTTCTGACGCAATTCAGGGGATTCTGAAACATCAGGCCTGCAGGAGCCAGAGGACATCTGAAACAAGGAAAGATGGAATGAAGCATCATAGGAATCATTTCTGGAATACGACAGAAGATAAATGCCTCCTAAAATGTTCCTATTTGAGGAAAGAATGGTTTTGATTGCCCCAATTTGAGGCAATACTGTGACAAAAAAGTACTTATATTCTGCAAATTTTATACAAGACGCCATTCAACTGTAAATAATGCCATAAATAGCAGATAAGCAAGACAATGCATTTTAAAAAGTTAATATTCACCATTTCTACAATAATGCCCATTTGATCTCTTGGAGTTCTGCCACCAAATCCAAAGAATATCTATGTCTTTCATGTTCTGTGTTTCTCCAATATTTCACATCACCAGACTACATGAACATATAAGAGATTTGAAAATACAAACAAAACTAAAATCACATTCGTGTTTTCCAGGGTTTTCATGCGTTTATACACAAGCCCCAACCTTAGAAAGGTTAGTATTTGCCTAGGAATTTATTTTATGCTACATATTTTCTTTTTTTAATATATTTTTATTGATTTCAGAGAGAAAAGGAGAGGAAGAGAGAGATGGAAACATCGAGTGTCATTGATCAGCTGGTTCATAAGTTGACACTCAACCACTGAGTCACACAGGCCAGGCCATATTTTCTTTTGTACTACTTATCATTTTTGATAAACATTAAGGCTCCGTTATCTTCATTTGTGATTTTCATTATTAACAAGTTACTGAAACATCACAGATTTATTTTTCAAAATTCTTGCTATTAATCAAGTACTCATTTCAGGAAACACATTTCTTTTATCTCAATGTGTAAAACTGACTCATTTCTGCATCTGGGTGACATAATCGCTTATGTACACAACTTTATTTCAAAAGTCATAGGAATCACAATGTTAGAGAGAGAAGGATTTCATCATCCTCTCATCTAACCCTTTTTACAGCTGAAGAAACTTAGCACCAGAGTGGTGAATAATACCTCTCTCCCCTATATTCAATGATCTTATTCTTTATCTACATGGCACTGAGCACTGATCACCACAAGACACAAATATTTGTTTATTGTCTGTCTCCTCGCAGGGGCTTTGTTTATTGCGGAAGACGCTGTCTGGGTACAATGTAGATACTCAACAAGTATTTGCTGAATAAACTAAATTAAAGTTAACCATAAGTCTTCTAAATCACAAATTAGTGTATTCTCTTCCCTCTTTCCTGCATGACAAGAAGTGTTAGGAAAAAAGTTATCTTTCACTTTAAAGAAAAAAATAGAAAGATGTTAAAAATACTTTTAAATAACATTTCTAACAAGAAAATATCCAAGTCCACTGTGAAAACCTAAAAAACAAAAAAACACAGCAGATAAATTATCTACAATGTTATCTCCTCAAGATAAGCACTGTTAATATTCCATGCATATTCTTCCAGCTGTGTATGTAGATAATATTTTCAACAAAAATGGAATATTATACTATCTATATAAAAGGCTAATATGCAAAGTGTCCCCTTGCTAATATGCAAAGTGTCCCCTTGGGAGTTCGACCAGGAGAGACCGGGAATTTGATCGCTCGCTATGACATGTGCTGACCACCAGGGGTGGTACGGAACAAAGGAAGGCCCCGGCCAGCAGCCGGCAGCCAGATGAAGGAAGGCCCCAGCCAGCAACTGGAAGGCAGGCCCTGGCCAGTAGCTGGAAGGCTCTGATCGGCCCTGATCACCGGCCTGGCCTAGGGACACTACCCATGCACAAATTTCGTGCACCGGGCCTCTAGTAGTTATAGAATATTCTTTTAAAAAAATACATTAATTCTCCTGTGCTAATAAGCCGTTTCCAATGTAATTTTAATAGTTGCGAGGGTTATATCAGATGGTTAAATCCAATGGAAAGAGCTGGCAGTCATCTAGGCTACTTCCCTGAAAACAGTTTCTCACTGAACATCTTGGTCACACACTGAAGATGTGATTCTCAAAAAGCATCACAGACCCTTGGGCAGGTGCAAGCATTCGAAATGTTAGTTGTCTCTTCTGGATTTGAAAGAGTAATGGCCACCTTCTCTCAGAGATAAGCTCCATAGAAAACATGCAAAGCTTTAATCTGCCACCTGTGGGTCTGGCTGCCAAAGCCTGACTCTCTCACTGGCACATCACTATTTGACAAGTTGTGTGCCAAATGGCCCAACAGTGTTTTATTTGCTCTCCAAATTTAAAGTTAAATGAGACCCTCTGCAAATCATTCTGATGCTCTTAAATAAAACTTCCTTCTTAAATGAGAAATCAAATGTAAGTAATTATTATTTTTTAAAAATATTTTTTTTATTGATTTCAGAGGGGAAGGGAGAGGGAAAGATAAATAGAAACATCAATGATGAGGGAGAATCATCACTTGGTTGCCTCCTGCACACCCCACACTAAGAATCGAGCCCATAATCCAGGCATGTGCCCTGACCAGGAATCTAACCGTCACCTCCTGGTTCATAGGTGGATGCTCAACCACTGAGCAACACTGGCCAGGCCAAATTTAAGTAATTATTAAGATATCATAATCTTGCATGTTATATCAACTGTACTATGCAATCAAAGAAGTCTATGCACGTGGGCTGTGCTTACCATAAACATAGCAGACACACAATGAATATCTGTTGACTGACTTAATTCTCTATGTATATGTGAATATGAAGAATCTCAATGATCTAAACAAAAATCACACAAGGGTTGCCCAATAGTTAAAACAACAGTAAAAGAATCACTAAGGCTATGCATTTTAGAGTCTATAAAAACCTATTTACTGTTACCTTAAAGCAGTGTTGATTTAACATATATCTTCAGTATAATATAATGGAAAGAGAACAAAATTAGGAGCCAGCAGAATTGGGTTGCCACTAAGCTATGTGATTATCTGACTCTCTAGTCCATAGCAGAATAGAAGCAAAAAAATCAGCTGGGCCAAAAATCAGAAGAGTGAGGATAAGAAAAGGGAAGAAGGAGGGGAAAAAATACAAAACACAGTGCCAGCAGCAAGAAGACACAGGGAGAAGAGAGAAAAGCCAAAAACAACAGACACAAATGCTTACAAAGCATTGTGGTCTATCTAAAAGAAATTAAAGTAGAGCAAATGGCCCCGAAGTTTCTCCTGAAGGCATGAGTTCACTGCAGTAATTAATATTTATAACTATGATTCTAAGTTGTCAGGATAAGAATAATTATAAAATATATCCCTTATTAAAAGGCAGAAATGCATGTGATACATACTAGACATATTTCCATCTAAAATCTCAAAATGTAAAAACGGTTCAATGGCATGGGAGATGTATATATGTAGAATTCATTCTTGAGTGGTTGATAAGTAAGGAATCTAATACAAGTGTGAATATCTGTGCATGCAGGATATATACACACACATTTAGAAAAAAAATCTGAGATTACGATCCACATCGAATGAAGAAGGTATTGCCCACAAAGGACTCCTATTTAACAATGTCATTAGTCAGAGAATCCCAGGTTCTCTGACTTGTTGCCTTGTGGTTTGTATTTACAGTGCTCTAAATTACTTGTTATGGATAAACATCAATTCCTCAATATCCATTCCTATGCTTGCATCAGCTTACTCTCCAAATATAACTGAATATAAAGAGTCTAAAATATTTGTTAATTAAGAGGAAAGAAAAGACACTGAATAAGTGGAGATTAAATAAAGGAAGAAAAACACACCAAAGGGCTGTTTCTAGAAATAGTCTCTGAAATAATCCATAAGGCCACTAGGTGTAGCTATGCACCCAAGAAAGAAAACAGCTAAAGTGATTTCAAAAGCAAAGTTAACCACATATTCAACTTCCTTTACATCCAATCCTTCCTTTCATTTAACTATAATTCACAATAACCAAGAAAGAGGGATGGTTATGATGAAGTAGTATTTTTCCCCCCACAGGTGCAGTTTAGATCTTGAAAACTGTAGACATAGGAACATGACCCAGGCCCCTGATATAAAACAAGATCACACCAGTCAGATGCACTGTAAGTGCTTTGGAAAGCGAGGTATTAGCAAGATCTGCTCCTACTTCACACGGCACAAGACTACAGCTACCCTCAACTAGACTGTGATGAACACATAAGCAACAAAAGGGTAATTGCACTTTTATCTGAACTACACAATCCTGCCCTTGGCTAATTCAAATATTTATTGAGTACCCACTCATTCAACAAACGTTCAATAAACACCTATTATATGTCCAATAAACACCTATTAAGACTGCTGAATTCAAGAAACTTACATTCTACACATATGTTTTTTATGCTGAGGAATAAAATTAAGACTAAGGGAATGTGTTTGGTCCTTAAAATGATCGCTATTCAAATACAGGGGAAAGCTACACACATACCAGTAAGAATGTAAGTGCATAATGGTGGAATATTACAAGGCTTATGGGAAGACAAAGAGGCAGTCTCCATTCTTTCTCGGGATGGTGGAAGAAAGTAAGTTAACATCTGAGATATATCTAGAAGGAACACCAGAACTGTGGAAAAGATGTGGCAACAGCAGGAGGAAGAGTATGGAGGCAAGTGCCCTCTGTATGTGTGAAAACCAGTGACTTTCCCCATGTGGCCGAAGGTTAAGATGTCTGGAAATGTAATGGGAGATGAATGAGGCTGAATTCTACGTTAAGTTTGAAAAGTAAGCTGAAGGTAATGGGGAGCCAGCCAAGGTTTTCAGTCAGAGGAGCTGCATAATGAGACGTGCAGCTAGATAATTCTGTCAGTGGAGTGCAAGATGACCTTGACCGGGGAGTGACTGAAGGCAGGAGACCAATTAGAAGGCTAAGAAAATAAACCAGCTGAGATGTGGGGCCCCAATTAAATCAGAGATGGTATTTTCGAAGCCTCAGTAATTGTCTGGAAGGATGTCAGGGCTGAGGAAGAGAGGTCAGATCATGCCGGTATTTCTAAGGTAGGTTAAAACCTTTCACTGAACGAGGGAACTGAGAGAAGGAAGAAAGATTAAGCAGGGCTGGGGTGTGCGGTTGTCTA